ATTAAAGGACGAAAGTGCAACTCGGGTATAATTAGTGGACGAATGGTGCTATTTTTCCTAACTTCTTATAATATTGTAACATTAATATTCAATATTGTTTGTGGGATTTCTGGTTAAATAAATTTATTTTTCGTATCTATTTTTTGCATGGAAATATTATTATGCTTTTGAAGAGTTTATATTTCTTTCTTAAGAGTTGGAGTAGTGGTTCTATGGTCTTATTTGCAAATTAAACCATCCGGGGCACTGTTATGCTTCAGTAACTTGACACTTTTCCACACTTAAAAAGGCTAGTGTGATGTTTTAAACCTATAACTTTTTTTGTACTTACTTAAAACATTTATTATTATTTTTAACCTATGATTTATATAATGATATTAACCGTTGTCCCCCACAATAAATTTCCAGCTCTTTTAGAAAATTCACGTATATAGTCAAATATTAACTCAAGTATATTGTGTTTGGTTTTCCTTCAAAACCAGGCCTCTCCCATTAAATGCTGCCCACAGTATGAACTCAAATTACTACCCACAGTATATATTCCAAGTTACAAGCTAGGATTGACAAAAATGCATTTGACACACCCAACCAAATCAAAATAAAATTACGGGTCATAATATAGTATGATCAATTCAAAAAGATGAAAATGAGTTTGCTAGTTATATAAAAATCATGTTAACACTGAATAGAACACAAATTAAGTTCCACTCATAATCAAAGGTTAACTCAATTTATACTCGGAGAGTGTATTGCCCTATGTGTTACTACTATTTGATAACTTCAAGCTCGCTTTTGTACTTATCATTGTCACAAGAGAATAAAGTTGATGGTGATGAACTAAACTTGCGATTCATAATTTTATGAGAAAATAATGTATTATTTTTTCTTCATGAATGATAAATATTTTACTTATAAACGGACAATGCAGATAATTTAAACTTTTATCTAGGAGTTTTTCAAGTTGAATTTGTACATAATTTAAATTCATATCAAGAAGTCTCGATTTAATTTGGTAGGCGCATATAGTTTATACTCGTATTATTTTATGGAGTTTTTTATCTGACATGATTTGAAAATAACTTATACTCCTATAATAAGGAGATTTTTATTTAACTTGATGTGTAGATACATAGATTCTTGTTTGTAGATTTTCAGAACAATCACATAAATAATAAATATTATATATATATATATATTATTTTTTAAGTTGGACCAACTTCTACCTTTAAACTTTTGTTACAAAAGGCATGGTACCGGTAAGTTGAATCCATGAAAAGTGTGAGTTAGGAGTAGTTGAATCCATGAAAAGTGTGAGTTATGAGTAGATAGTGTGCTAAGAATGTGTGATTTATCATATATATATAACCATATAATCAGAACTAATAAACGCAATTCTATTGTCCATTGCACAAACAATAGCACTTATTCGATACATACAGTTATGTCACCCTTTTTTGTAATCCTAATGATCATCATCGGCCTCTCTTCTTCTTCTTCTTCTTCTTCTTTTTCTTCTTCTTAGCCTGAAGAATTAGGTATTGGCATTCAATTAAATTTTATAGCTAAAAAATATTAAGAATTACTTATTGCATAAATATTTATAAAAAAGAAAAGGAAATAAATCATCCAAACTCCATTTTACGTGAAGAGCGCAAACAAACAAGGGAAATGTAATTTGTGTTTCTTGTTGATGCATTTTTTGAGTTTTGGGGCTTATAAATACCTCAGCCTCTGCCACCTTTGTTCTTCATCCTCCATATTTTGGCACATATATCACAGCAAGACCAGCCAGCGGTGACCACTACAATAGAAAATTATTTGTTTTTTTAAAAAGAAAAAAAAAAAATCTAGAATGGTCGTCCTGATAAAATACAGATAAAATCATTTCAATTTCCTTTTCATTTTCCTTTCAATCTGTTGTACGCTTCTACATCGGAGATGGCGGTGAGCAACGGCCAATCTGATAAGGGTCTGATCGTCAGTTTTGGCGAGATGCTGATAGATTTTGTGCCAACGGTCTCCGGCGTGTTTCTGGGGGTCTCCAATGGGGATTGTAGTTTTTGCCGGCTGCTCTAAAGGAGGTGATGGGCGTGGGGTTCACCATTCTCGGGAACTACATGCAATTTTTTATATTGCCTGTGATCTAAAGGGAAATCAGCTCTCATTCCAGAGGGATGGAATGTGATCTTTTACGGCATGATTGATTAACAAACAATGTTTCTTTTTTATATTTCAAAGTAATGTTGTGTTTAGTTTATCCACAATGTTTCTTCCTTATATTTCTAAATAATGTTAAGTTTTGTTATCCATTCTGTTTTCGTGAGTGCAGTAGAGTAGATCATTCTATTGTTATGTAACAATCCATGTACAACAAGAAATAAAAAATAAAAAAAAAAACTTTTATTTGTCAAATACATTATATGAAATGGTATATCGTATAACTAAAAACAATTAAACTAAAGTGCTAAAATAATTAATAATGTCATCTATTGTGCTAACACTTTTTTATTTTTCTATTTGAATTCATATAATTACATTCACTAATTATTATTTTTATATATATTTTTTTTATTTTAAGTTGTAAATCATAAGATGTGTAATAATACAAATCTTAAGGTTGTGATGAGAAGTTCTTGTATTAGTAGGATTGATATACACATTTAATAAGTACTAGTATAATACCCGTGTATTACACGGGTGCTGAATTAGAAAGCTTTAGTAAAAAATATTAAATTTTTTATTTTTTTACAAACTAAAATAATTTAATTTTATATAAAACATTACTTTGAGTTTTAATTAAATTGTTAAATTATATTTTTTTTAATCATAATAATTAAACACCTGTACATTAAATAAAAATATCAACCCGTATTGAATTTTTTTACTTATATCATATAAAAATATCTATATTATTTACTATTACATAAGTACAAAAATATATGTCTTAAATATTTAGAAATAATATGGTGATATGTATATGCATAAGTGTAGAATATGTTTATTTAATATGAAGAGACACTGTGTATTAGATGGAGAGTTAAAAATAGAAAAATGTGAAAAAAAAATATCTAAAACGACATTTATTTTATGAATGATCAATTAAGCCAAAGTGACAAATAATAAAAATATAAGGGAGTATATATTATTGTATATTTTAGTATTACACATGTTAATTGTGCGACTTATATGTGTTTTATTATAATAAATTTTCTACCTTATAACATATAACTACATTAAACATAAATATATTAATTGATAAATAATTTTATTTTCTAATTAATTTTAATAAATAATTTTTTTATTATTATAAAGATAAATATAATTTATTTATTTTATATATACAATATGGATGTCAAATCGAAGCTCATAAAAAGATGATTAATTTGATATATTATATATGTAAAACCGATAAGGAATACAAAAGTTATCAACTTTTAAAATATATTTGAAATTCAATGGTTATAATAGGAAATGATATTAAAATATAATTAATACAATATTAATTTATATCCAAGCCTAACTCCAAAGCATGATTTTTTCATAATGCTCAGCGCATTCTGAAATTATATATAAGAGGGGATATGGGCTTGAAATTAAATTCAGATTTTTTTTATTTACTCCAAACCAGGGTTAGAAACCATTTTGGCAAGCCAAAACACAGATTTCAGATCTGAAATCGGAAATTCGAGAGAAAGATAAAAAATATTTCGAGAGAAATTGCTTACAACAAAAAAAAGGCACGAATTTCAGAAAAAATGTGTGTTTATGTGCGTGCAGGGAAGATGAAACGGATTTAATTATATGAGGCGTGGTTTCATATCCGAAAATTAAATGAAAGAGTCTGAGCAAAATTAGTTCTTTTGACGAAAAAATTGAACATTTTTTAACATCCATGGCTGAATAGAAACGAAAATGTGTCACTGGTTTCCAGCACTGTCAAGAGCTCATCAGTAATTTCACAATTAAGAGAATCGACTTAAGCTTTTATGAAAAGAATAGGGAAATCGGGCGAGATGCTTCAATTGGGCCTTTCTGCAGAGAGTCTTGAAATCGGGCGAGGCGAAAATGCTCGTGAAATCGGGTCTCAATTTTTCTTAATCTATTTTCAGATCTGAATCTGTTTGGGAATTTGATTTGCATAAGGTTTGTAACCATGGTTTGGAGCAACAGATGTTTGGATTAAAATTGATTAATTAATAAATGTTGAAAATTATGATACCAAATTTTAG